CAAGAACTAGCATATTGCACAGAAAGGGATTCATGACAGAACCAGAAGACGCTACATTCACAAGTTTTACTGTCTCAATTTAAAACTTAACCAAATGGTAATAAATTTATGAAAACAAACTCACCTTATAACCAGGCAAGAAGCTGTTGCGTTTCGTTGGAAGGGTTCCTCACAGCTGGGGCAGAGTGAGCATACAACTAGAGCGTTTGAGATCCTTGATCAGGCATCTTAATGAAGCAGGGATTTCAAAGATGAGGGTAAACTTTGGACTCAACTACTCGCAAGCGCAGTCAAAAACCCTCAAGTCAAGCCCAGATAAAGCAGGCTGGCAACTCCACACTCCTAGACAAGCCCAGTATAGAGCAAACAAAGCAGCAATACAGGGTGTGGAAGAGTCTACCGCAACTTAATGTGCATCACCAAAAGCTGTAGCACGAATACATCTAACATACTTTGTTGGTGTAATACTACAAGCCGAACACTTTTCCAAGGCCCATACAAAGCCCATATAAAGCAGGCTGGCAACTCCACACTCCCAGACAATCCTGGTATAAAGCAAACAAAGCAGCGATGCAGGGCTGGTATAAAGCCTTCACAGCAGCAGAGCCTAAAACAAAAAATGCAACATAAATGTCACCTCCCACTTGAGCACAAAATCTAGCATATTGCACAGAAAGGGATTCATGACAGAACCAGAAGACGCTATAATCACAAGTTTTACTGTCTCAATTTAAAACTTAACCAAACGGTAATGAATTTATAAAAACAAACTCACCTTATAACCAGGCAGGAAGCTGTTATATAATATGTAAACCACAATTATCACAGCACAGCACATCATTGGGAGGGATATCATAGTCTGGATCAGTTCTTTCCTGGAAGCTCAGCTGTAGTCAAAGGGGCCACTAGCGGGTTCACCTTCATCTCCTGGCCTTTTGCCTTTACCTCCCATTGAACGTGCTGATGATGGCCTTTTCACAGAACGATCTGGGGAAAAAAATTCAATTGATTACGAGCATAGATTAAGACGAATTAGTAAAATTTAAGAATCTGCAACTGATAACTAACCAGCTGCAGTCGTAGAGGTTGAGGGTGAGCCAAGGCCGACACCAAACTGAGCAGAAGGTGGGTTGTTCCAGTAATGGGGTCCTGTGGCAACGAAGATTATTAATAATCCAGGCAACCAGTGTGAGCAAACACAGAAGATCAAAAATATCCTACTTACCATTGCCATGAACGGGGACACCAGAAGACGGACCGAGAAGGCCCTCCATCATGCCCATATAAAGCAGGCTGGCAACTCCACACTCCCAGACAACCCTGGTATAGAGCAAACAAAGCAGCGATGCAGGGCTGGTATAAAGCCTTCGCAGCAGCAGAGCCTAAAACAAAAAAAGGAAAAATTAATGTCACCTCCCACTTGAGCACAAGAACTAGCATATTGCACAGAGAGGGATTCATGACAGATCCAGAAGACGCTACATCCTCAAGTTTTACTGAGTCAATTTAAAACTCAACCAAATGGTAATAAATTTATAAAAACAATGATTGAGTAGATCAACCATATACCAACATGAACAACAATAGAACAAACACAGTCTGAGACAAAGGGAAGTTTTAGCACTGAAAATAGGAATTAAAATTTAGGAGAAACTTTGCTTACACTAATTGTTTCAGTGACAGGCTGCCTGCAATTGTAGCATCGCAGATGCTGCTGTGTCCTGGATGCAGTCTTCAGGCAATCAATACAGATTGGCATGTGGGAACACGGCAATAGCATCCTGAGGTCCTTCTTGTGCACGAAGCAGTTGCCACACTGGTCTTCCACCTCTTGGAAAGTCTTTTTAGCTGCTTGTCCAGACAGTGGGCCTGTGACTGTGGCATACCCTGGCTGCATGGCCCAAGGTAAAACTGCAACAAACACAAATACATTTTCTTTAAATTTAGACGTAAATTAAGATACACCTAATAATAAGGGAAATACAAAATAAGTTAAATTTCTGACAGGTGCTTGTGCTTTAATACAAGACTCAGTGTCCCCCAGTCCATCAGGGGATCAAGCAAGATATGAAGAGCTGTTTGTTTATATTTGTTTCAATCTTTATAATAGATCATTTCGCTGAGCCAAAAAAGAAGAGAAGCAAAGGTATCATTTAGGGCTGATAGGGCCAATTTGTGAGTGATTTGTTGTCTTAAAAATATCACATTTGCTT